TAAATTCACGTGATTCCGATACTTTATCCATTTATTGGTTAAAATATTGATCAATGCTTGTTTGTCGCATCGTATTAGCTTTTTTCTCTCTAATATATCTTTCGAGAATATTTGCCATTTTTATGTGTTCACTTGCATTTTCTTGTTGTAGTAAAAATGCTTGTACGGTTTCCAAGCCTTGTAATGCCATACTGGCACTGATAGCTGCTATTTCAGTGCTGTCATCTACGTCTTCTAAACTATTACTGCTTTCTGCTATTTTGAATATATCTACGAGCTCTGCCGTTAGTTGATCGTCACTAGGCACTTCATAAACAATGTCTTCCTCAGGAATTGACAAAAACTCTTCAACTCCCATTGACTCAGAAAGATTAAGTTTTTCAAAGACTTTACAAAGTTCATCGGATATAGCGTTTTCAGCTGTACGAACGTGATCTGAGAGACTTCTTAAGTCAGCATTAATACCAACGGGAAGAATGTTGGTATGACACCAACAGTTACGAATTGTTTCTGCTGTGATTTCTTCCCATGCTTCAATAATGTATTGGAGGGCTTGAAGAACGTTCATTTTTAAAAGTTCTATTTGCTGTCCGCCTTCAACCTGTTCCAACATCCACCTAAATATTAAAAAAGTTAATATCTTCTTAGACGTAAACCAAAAGAGAAAATGACAATAATATCTTACAGCGTTTGATAACGGCGATAATGTCGTTTAAATGCCATTATGATTCCAGCATCCATTGGCTGAATCTTTGCGGTTGTATTTGGTGGAAGGAAGTGGACATCAATTGTGATGAAGCATTAAACCTTCCAACCTATGGCTTGGACAATTATCGATGAGCAACAAAACACGATTATCACCATGTTTTTTAGTAACCTCCCTATCGAAGTACTGTAACCATTCCTGAAAGAGAGATGTAAGCATCCAAGCCTTTGTATTATTTCGATATATTATTGGCAAATTACGAATATTGACGTGTTTAAAGCATCGTGGATTTGCATATTTGCCGATTACAAGTGGAGTTAGCTTATGCGATCCATCAGCGTTTGCACAAAGCGCAATTGAAAGTCGTTCTTTATCTTTCTTGCGACCTGCAAGACGCCTTGTAGCCAACGATTGATCTGGCTCCAGTCTAAAGAGTAAATTTAGTATGGGATTCTGACATTAAATATTTTATCGCATAATTACTATATTTACCGATAGAAAAGACCAGTCTCGTCCATGTTATAAATACGTTCGGGAGGATAATTAATGCATATTTCATGCAGCTGTGGCAGGGCCTCGACAACGACATTCAAATTAACTGATGCTCCTTCTCCTTGAAGCTTTATTTGATGAATGTTGTTTCGACTTTTGAATTTTTGGAGCCACCCTACGGAAAAGTTTAATGCACCTTCAGGAATTCCCAGTCCGTTCGCTAGTGTTTTGGCCCGCTCGATTAGAATAGCATCACTTAGTACTATTTGATGCTGACGCATTAAGACAAATTCTCTAAGAGCTTGTTCGAGTTCTGGGTATGTGACTGATCTGTGTCTTTTTGCGTTTGGAGCAATAATTTCCTCCTCAGAAAGTAACTGGTTGCTTCTTTGCAAAATTCGTGTTATGGTAGACTCATTAACCCTAACTTGCCATTTATTTTCGATCCAATTAACATACTCCGCACGAGATTTCTTATTATCGCGAGCATATAGGCAAAGTTCGTATTTTGCGAATCTGTCAAAGTTGTCTTACTTTTTGGCGGCATGATGAATTGTTTTTATTAACGGTAAAATTTCAGTACAATCTTCTAACTAACAATGAGTTATAAACGATTTTTATGACTATGAACACGATGGCATGCTTAAATAGAGGCTACTGTTACAATCATAAATTATTACAGAATATGATATTAAGATGTTCTGACTATTGATGTCTAAATAAATACATGACCTGATGTTAACAGACAATGTTACTACAGAATTGTATTCTCGTATATCGAATAAACTTGACACCAGAAAATAGTTCGCTTGCGTAAAGTGGAATAATTATAGCACGGACTCTCTCTATTCGTTACGTTTTATGATCCGATAATTTGTTATTGTCTTATGACCTGGGAATGGTAAAGTCTTTAACTCGCCGAATTTTCATTGGTGATGGCATTGACTGACTATACCATATTTAGCTACTGGGTCACGTGCGTGCATTTAGGGAGATTATTTTCATATAGTCGGGACCGCAAAATCTATTGCACGTGCAGAATATAGAGAGTGTGTATTTAGCATTAAGTCCCGAGGTTGGGACCATCAAATAGCGTGCATTTAGGGAGACTGTGCATTTAGGGAGAGTGCATTTAGGGAGAGTTCACTGTATACTAAAATTAGAGGATGGCTAAAGCGGAGTAGAACGTGACCTGATTCTTGCAATTACATTGGTCAAATTTGTATATCAACCAATGAAATTGTAAAATTAGAATCCTCATGGCGATCTCATTATGATGCCTGTTAGATAGTGGTGATCTTATTCTGATGTCACAGAGAGATTTATAAAAACTACAGGTTTCTGTAAAGTACAACTAATACTGTAGTTTGAGGATTCGAAATTCTCGTGTCACCGTGCATAATAGTACTCTACAATCGCGATGACTGTATTCGCCGTTTATAGAATGCGGTATTTGAGGCTCTCCCTTGATTATTGAGTCGATAAAAAAGGTATGATTTTTCGGATATACGTGGTATGGTTACATACTAATAGTAAGGGAGACCATATTTTGATGAAAATAATAAGAAAATAGAACCGAGAAACTGCTTTTCCTTTCTCAAAGTTGTTTGAAACTAAAGTTTTCTTAGTCGCGAATAAGGGCTGGGAATCAAGACAATGAGTATTGTGTACCGTAGTTATCAGCTTTGCCCAAGCAGCATAGTTTCAGCTTAATATAAGTCTGCAGACTAAGACGGTCAATTAGGTTGAAGAAGGTTAAATACATAAATGGAACAAAAGTTTATTATATAATTTTCTTTTCGAAACCAACATTCTGAAGTTTTCCCGCTAAAAAATGGTATTACGTGTATGTCATACTAAAATCTACTAAATAAGTAATATGAGGCTAGTATCCGGGCTCTCCTCGTGCCATGCTTGCGCGAGCCAGCCTTATTTAAAATCTAAAAATGATCCTAGAAGCAATCCTGAAAAATGATCGGGTCTCATACTATATTATAGAATGACGCAAATCCCTCCTCCTCCGTCCCCACTATTTTGCGCTGCTTGTAACTGACCTTGTAGTCTTGCCATATCTTCCGCATGTTTGATTCTCACGTCATTTATTACTCTCTGGTTCTCAGCTTTAAGTCTTTCCATAT